TCAGCAGGATCCAAATTTTGGCTCTAAAGTTAGAAAACTACACTGTGATAACAGAGCTGGCATGCCAAAATTTTCCACTTTAATTGCAACAGAATCTTGTCCTGAATGGTCATAAATTTGTATTTCACTACGAAAGTGAGAGAATGGAAACTGAGCCTTTAGCAGATGGAAAGGGACAGTTTCAGCCTTAAGCATTTGTGAAGACACAGAGATGCTTTGAATCTTTGATCCTGCCAAAATGAATCCAACCTTTTCTATTCCATTAAGAACACTTTGCTCTTTGTATCTACTATGTGGAGGTCATTTTAAATTCAGAACGTGTCCATGAGCCTGGAGAGCATTTTAAAGTTATCCTTGCGGGGGGGGAAAGTTACTTAAAAAATCATTACTGAAAACCAGATCTCCAGCTATGATCCTACTGCTGCTGAAGCTTTATCTGGACCAAGAGAAGCTGTATTTAATCTTGCATAAACAGCCGTCTCCTGCTGTATAAAATATAGCACGTTGTTTGTTTTTGAAAGCGTGACACCCTTGAGTCACAACACATCCAGCCCACTGACAGGACAGCAGGCAATAAGCATAAATTAAAACCTATGGAATTCTATCTGAACACACGAAAACACTTTTTTACTGTGGGCATGACCAAACACTGGAACAGATTGCTCAGAGAGGTTGTGGAGTCTCCGTTTTCACAGACACTCAAAACCTGAGTGGACATAGTCCTGGGAAAGCTGCTGTAGCTGACCCTGTTTGAGCCGGGGCAGGGATGAACTAGATGATCTCAAGAGTTCCTTTCCAACCTCAACAATTCTGTCATGCCTGGGACTGAGGTTTACAGGTCTACAGACTCCTCTTCTTCCCCTTTGAGAAAGCGGACACTTGAATCATTTTGTGAATTCTCCAGTCCCACCAGTCATTTATCATTGTATGTTATTATTACCCTCAAGTTCAGTAATTGCACTAAGTTTCCACTATGTGCTTTCCCTTTTCAGTTTGCTGAAGAGCTCATTATTTCTCTCTTGCTGGACTTCCTATCGGTACTCAGCATGCAGGCCTTACTACCATTTTTTTGAAGAACATCATAATCTACTTGTGCTCTCTTGCCGCTGGAATATTTTTCTAAATCTATTGAAGGCTGTTTAACTGAACTGTTTAATTTTCTTGCTGTTCTTCTCTTCCTAAATGCCACGAGTTACATAGTCTTACTCACTTTCATCCATTTCGCTTTCATATCCACATTCTCAATTGGTTTCCTCCAACTGGTCAGAATGAAATCCAGAAGACTTAGTAAAAACAGAAGTATGGATTCAGGAACTTACTCTGATAAATTCAAAAGGAAGGTGAACAAATGACGAATGATTTCTGCAGCCCTTTCAAAACACAATGTATTGGGCATCAGTTTTCTCTGAAAAGTTTTAAACCCTGAAATATTACATTCCTAAAGACCTGGTTTTATAAAAAGTAAAACAAACACCTCTTTGTAAAATGTTTTAAAAGTTCATCAGTTTACCTGCATGTAACCTGACTGGTTTTGAAACGCCTCCTTCACAGGTTGTCTCTGTGCTACTCTCCTAAAGCACTGCTTCCCTCCTGCCAGGTTCTCCATCCCACCTATTAATAACCAGTTGCTTTCACTCCCAGTGAAGAAGAGCACCTACTGTATCACTACATTTATGGCTGTTAGGGTCATACACCCCATCAACATTGCACTCTTCTAAAAGATCATAGGATCGTAAGGTAACACATATCGGAAGGGATATCAGGAAGTCATCAAGGCCAGTGTTCTGCTCAACAAGGGTCAACTATGAGGTCCGACTGGGTTGCTCAGGGGTTTATCCTGTTGGATCTTGAAAACCTTTAAGGAAGGAGACTGTACAACCTCTTTGGCCAACCTTTTCCACTGCTCAACTCTCCCAAGGGTGAAAAAAATTCTCTTTATTTCCGGTCAAAGTCTCTCATTTCAACTTATGTCTTTCATAAGTTTCCCAGGGATCAAGGTGAGGCCAACAGGTCTGCAATTCCCCAGATTACACTTTCAGACACTTTTGAAGCTGGGGACAATGTTTGCTTTCCTCCACTCACTAGGGACCATCCCTGACCTCTGTGATCTTCCATAGGTGCCGGCGAGTGGCCTTTTAAGGACACCAGTTGGTTCTCTCAGCATTCTTGGATGCAATGACCCCAGGGACTTGTGTGGGCTCAGTTAATTCTCATTCACAGCTGGCAGTTCTCTTCCTCCTTGAACTGGTTCTCTAAGCACAGAGGCGTGGGAGACCATCTTGTGAAGGCTGAGGAAGAAAAGGCACTGAGTACTTTTGCCCACCTGTGTCTATTGTCCCTAAATCACTTCACACCTTTCAACAACAGGTCCACGTTTTTCTTGCTCAGACTTCTACTATTAATGTAGAGGCAGATGCTCACTTGGTTACCTGTCACATCCCTTGTAAGCCTCAACTCTGTGTGAATTTTGGCTTTTCTGACACCATCCCTACCTGTACATTGCCTTTTTGGTTTTGAGCTCTGTCAGGGCTTCCCTGCTTAGCCAAACCAGTCCCCTGATACGTCCCTTTGCTCAATGACAAAGCACGTTGCTTTGGCCTACATCAATCTTCATTTTATAAATTACCGTTTACTTGATACTGATATAGGTCTGTTCAACATGGGAGAATATGTTTGTATAGAAATATTTTGCAGACACTGAATACAGTGAGTGTAAACTTTACCAGAAAATAATACAGGTATGAGATACTGGTTGACTTTCTGTTAAAAAAACCAAAACCAAACCAAAACAGACTAAAAAAAACATGCAGACTTAGGAATGATTTACATTAGTGAGACTCTCTAAAATAACGTATTATAAAGTAAGTTTTAAATACACACATTGAAATAGTTGCAGGGGTGGTTCAATCTAGGAGTTCAGCATCATTCTGGATTCCCACATAATGTCTACCTTTATCTGGAGAGCAGATTTTTAAACATCAGTAGCGATATTAGTTTTTTTGTATGCAGCAACACCCTGGCCAATTTTAGCTGCGGAATGCACAGATGGGTATGCAGAATGATGACAACATAATGTCCCCTCCAGTTTATGACAGATCATAAAATAGCAATTAAACAAAATTTGTTGTGTGACAACTTGATTTGCTTGTACACTCCATTGTATTTTAATTCTGGTTTTGTGGTATTTGGTACACAGACTTTGTTTCTATTGTTTTCAAACAAATCAACAGCAGCTCAGTAAGTTTCAGAAAGTACACCAGAAACTCACAAAGGAAAACAACGATAAAATCACCCCCAAATTTCCATGAGGCAATCCTTTTTCATTTGATCTTCTAGATGGGGTATCACAGATTTCTCTACAAATGACTGTCATCACAAAGAGTAAAATTACCTCATTTGGTAAAGTCAGTCATGACCACACAGCAAGAAGAAGAATTCTCCACATTAAAAAGAAATACATAAGATACTTGGGATATGTTTGAAGGCAGCTTCTCTATTATGGGTTCGACCTCTACTGACTTCAGAAAAAAAGCCAGATAGTAGGAGGACTGCAAGTTACAACTTTAGGATCTAAAGATGTGAGTAAGAGATTAGTTATCTGGTGTTTCTAGCATGCTTTCTTAGTGGGCATTAACAATTATCAAGCAGCAGAGCAGTAGCAACATTCAAACCCACTGAAGGTCAGACCGGCCGGTTCTGCAGAACATCAAACTACCAAATTTCAAATAAAGCAGAGTGCAGCTGACTTTGTCTGTGATACATGGATGCAACAAAAATACCTCTAGGTGCAATATTTATGTTGTGTGTTTTATTCATATGACCCCTCCTTACAGAAATAGTACTACAAAATCATGCAGCAATCTTTTCACAGTATTATGTTTTTTCATGCCAGAATTAGGTTTCTTCAAGGAAAACCGTGTGCTAATTTGTTCTTCGTATTATGAACCTTAGGGATAAAGACCAAGCAAGGGAAATATTTTCATAATAGTTTATGTACCTTCTGATTCTAGAATTTCACCACTTTGCTACCATTACCTCATTTAAATAGGGCAGGAACTCAGTCAGAACCTACACATCTTACAAATGACTACCTGAATTGTGTATGTTAGTTATCTATAATGTAATGATTTCATGGTAACTAATTCAAAAGCAGAAAAAGTAAGTGCAGAGAATGATACTGTCAAGAGAGAAGTTGTAAATAAAATCCAGGAGCTCAGTTTGCTAGAAAAGCACAACCTCCTCTGTGAAACAGTGAGTTAAGACATTAAAACAGGCTTTTCCTGCCTTTTTTTTTCTTCATTTACTTACTAATTTATCTTCAAAACTGATTTCAAAGACTTGATATGTCAACAATTATTTCCATTACCTTAGAGTGATAAATGTTTTCCAAGCCTTTTAACCATCATACAGAATATCAGGTAAAGGTTCATGGATGCTAACATCATCAGCTTTTGGTTATTTTGCCTGGTTCTTGTATATTATATAAAGCTTGCTATTTTGTTTGGGATTATCTGGAAAATAATTTCCATCTATAAGTGTATGCAAAAAATTCCATTATATGCTTCTAACAGTTTAATGGATTTTACTAAAAGGAACAGTAAGTGATGAGGAGTAACAGACAAAATCATAAACAGATACAGACAAACTTATGACAAATGTCTATTTGCTGGAGTTAGATTTCAAATCTCAGACTTACTTGGCAGCAGCATCTTTTCTCAGCTGTTCATGTTTCATTAAAAGATTCTTCCTCTCTTGAAAAGCCTTCCTAACTTTGTATCCTTTGTAGATTGCCTGAATTTTGAAAGCAGCAATGTCCTGTATGGCAGCTATAGAGAGAGCCCCATGTTCTAACATGAACTGAATCACTTCGTGGTGTTCACCAAGCAAGGCATAATCAAGTGGAGTATATCTGAAAAAAAAAGACCAAAACCAAAACAAACCCACAACAATTATCATTTAACTAGAATTCTAACCATAATGTGCATTGACTTTATCCTCATTTCATAGGAAGGCAACTTGTAGTATGAAGACTGATTAAACACTGCTTTCAGTAGGCTGCTTTACTAATTTTTTAGTATTTTTTAAATCTTACTCATTCTACACACTGTGACTGCGTTAAAGGCTTATTTTAGTCTCCTAATATAAGGGGAGGCGGGGGGCAGGGCGGCAGACTATAGGAAGTGTTCGATCAAAATCCTCCAAAACCCTATCGACAGAATCAACTGCTTTAGGCAAGCAATCTTAAAAAGGTGTTACTGTGGTTCTCCTGTAGAAATATTATCTAAATAGAAAGCAAGTTAAAACATTATTTGAGTTACTTCCATATGAATTTAAGTTCTGGAGGTTTACTGTCAAATCTGGCTTTGCTTCTACAGTAACGACTGAGGACAGTATGACTCACCAAGCAGCATTACACCTGCATCAAGGGATAGCATTTGTTTTTTAAAGCGCTATGAAGTCTGTTTTCAAATGGCCACAGGTACTAAAAATATTAAATGGCTTTGGTTTTTAATGGTGTCAAAAATGTCTAAGCACGCCTTCAAATAATTCCCAACATTCCCGTTGTCAACACAGGAGCAAAAGGTACACACCTCCCTCACCAACCCTGAAGCATTAGGCAAAGGCATTTGGTGACTGAAAATTACCAGTCGCAAACCATGATCAAGACCATATAATTCAAGACTATTAAATCGTAATTGTCAACGCACGCAATGGTGAAAATTAGGGCTCTTCTTGATGGAAACCTGCTGGGACGCATTGCTGGTAAGCAAAGAAAACCAGACAGAAAGCACAATTGGACTTGCCACACAGCAATGATTTGATGGAAAGATTAACAGTATCTGAACCGAAGTGTCTGCAGGAATAAAGGCAATGACAGAACATGAAAATGTGCATGTCAAGGTGTGTTGCTGATAGCATTTAAAGAGATACAGATTTTTGATAACCCAGGAATGGGAACTTCAGAAGGGACCTCATTTCAGAAAAACACATTTTGAAAGTATCCCTAGTTTTGAATATTTTAATTAACAGGTACAAAAGATACTTGAGTAAACTTTATGCTACTGGCATGTATGTACCCAGACAATGTATTACATTACGGATCCCAGCTACGAAGACCCATATTCTTAAATGTGGATTCCCTAACTCCATTAGAGCTGCCTTTAAAACTAAAAAATCACTCAAATCAAACCTGAGTAGGGGTTTGTATGACTGGGCACTACCTATTACCTATTCAAGGCTGCACACATACACTCCTCACAACCAGCCATTACTCTGTTGGGTCAGTTCAAAGCCTGTTATAAATTTTCTTTTCCACTGGTTATCTGTAAAGCAGGTAGCTTTTAAATCAAGCTGGCTTCACAGGAAAACACGCAAAGAAGACATCAGCCATCAGCTGTTGTATGTAATTTAGCGTGAGTTTGGTCAAGCGGCAGCTAGCCTGGTGTCACATGATGCACCCAGGACGTCAAGTTGGATTATGAAATCAATTTGCAAAGAACAACAAACCGACCACCCTCCAGAGTAGCATTTGTTCACGTATCTGCAAGCAAGCGGGCAGCTTAAAAGCCGAGATGCAATCTTAGCTCCATGTTTTCACAAACCTACTGAGTGTTAGCCACTATGTTTGAATTTTGAACTGGTATCTCATGCTGCCCTCTAAGAAAGTGAAGAAGGGAAGCTTCCTTCTACAGCTATATTGGAAAAAAATGTACTATTTCGTGAAATTGTTAGTGATTAAAAAACAATTTTATCCACTTACAGATGAAATATATCCATGAGGTTATTTTTAACCTCTCTTGCAACACTCAACTTCACTTTTCTACTTTCCAAACTTCCGATTTCCTAACAATAAAACAAGGTTTTGTGGATGTTCAATAAGAGGCAATTGTGCCATTTTTATATACAATAGACATTTTTAGGAGAATTATATTAAAGGCTGATTCATCTAGAAATATTAGGGTTCTGTTTTGTTCTGGACATGGACTAGTGCTTAAGGACTGACATTTGGAATACTGCTAATTACAGTTTGAGTAATCTAGGTTTATACATAAGAATATATATTAATGCCAGCAGGGAAACAAAAATAGATACTAATGAATGACTCTACTAAAACCACAGCTAAGGCCTTTTCCTGACATTTGAGCATCATTAGTACATTTCTATGAAGTAAGGAAAATAGCAGCCTCCTTTCTGGCAAAATAGTGGCTTTTAATCCTACTTATTAAAAGTAATTTAATTACAATTGTTTATTTAATTTTCTGTCAAAAATTACTAAAGAGAGTATTGGCACTACTTAATTAGGAACTAGTTATACTTTCATTTGTGTTTCTCAAGAAAAAATAAGAACAGAAAAGGAAGAGACATCTGAATGGTTTAGAGTGGGAAACAGAAATAATAGGGGAAGAAAGCAATTAGAAACAGGGATAAACATGGAAGTCTCAAATTCAGCACTAAAATACGGGTTTCAAAGACCTTAAAATGTTGAAATATTCAAATTTATATAGCATAGCAATCATAATTTTATTTATAATTATGAGGAGGTCGTCTACTCTAAAAAAAGGCATTAGAAATGTCTGCTAATAGCAATTATCTTCACTGTCAGGTGACTACTTCAAACTCCACAACCCAAATCACTTTTTAAAAACTATTATTTATATGTCAGTGAGAGACAAAGAAAAGGGATGCAAATGTACTGTCTCTTTATGATTATAGGAGGATTTTTTTTTTTAAACCAGGCCTTTAGAATACAGTTAACCACCAGGTAATCTGTAACCACTGCTTTAAAACTAACATTACTTTTCTCCCATTTTCTTTCTTCTCACAATATTCCTACGAAATAGAAAAGAAAAATTCCAGTTTACTCCAATAGCAGCAGAAATGCCTTTTCATCCTTTGTCCATATATATCCACTGTCAACTTCATATGAATGAAAAAGACTTTTAATATTTCAGACAAGACTGGAATGAGTAAATACTTGCAGAAATCTCTGTAAGTTCAAGACAAAAAAGTGTAAACAGTTGAAGTTGCAACGTCTTAAAGAGACTTTTTCACATTAGAAAAGCCGCTTCCACTGAAGCCCAAGATACAGCACTCCTTTTAAACGCAAGATCACAATTCCCTGGCAGTATCTGAACACTTAACATTTAAATCAGTAGCAATTTTGCTACATTACAGAATGCTGCATTCAGGCAAGCAATACCTCTCCTCGCTGTTCTCCATATGGTTAGGGAATGCATCAAAACCAAGCAGCAACTTTATAGCGTCAAGGTATCCATTGTTACAGAGCCAGTGCAAAGCAGTTCTTCCCTGGAAACGATGAAGAACAGAATAAAAATAAGTATTATCCCCAAAATCTATCATGCCACAATAAAAGTTGTAAATAATTCTGTAATTCAGTGCTTTTCTGCACACAAAGGACAAAGTAATTCTTCTAAATACACTTCCTTGTTAAAATAAAAGAATACAGCACTTAAAATTGAAGTAATTTTTTTTTTTTTTTTTTGGAACAAGATTACACCACGAGTGCTTTTTCACCTAAAGCTACTGAAAACAGTATTAAGAGACCAGCTCTAAAGTTGCTTTCTTCGCAGTTACACTGCCCAGGTCTGAAGCAGCTCTCATCAACCTTTGTAGTTCAGACTGTTTTCTAGGCTGCTCCGAAACACGGTGACAAGACTGAAAGAATTACTACAGAATTCGAAATCAGATGAAGTTTGAGAAAAGCCTATCAGCCCAGGCAAACAAAGAAAGGCTCCAAAACGACCTTGGTTTCAGAAGCCTCATTTCTCTCGCATGAAGCGGACGTCCAACTCTCAAACTGCGCTCTGTACACGGCCAGCTCATTCACACATGGCCACTCTTGGGACCAGGATCCCAGAACCACAATATGAACGCCTCAAGCTCTGTAATATCAACAAAACATAGATATTTCACTTCATTCCCAGGCCATGCCTCCTGTCCGCATCTTGCTTTTCCGAACCCCAAATGTAGGAAATACCTAGAACGCTGAGTACCGCAGGAAAACATGAAGACATTAAGTTCAGTGCTAGCAAGCCACCCCCTGAGCCCCAAGGGCTGGAAGAGCATGCTGCAGTGTCTCTGTGTGAAACACGTAGAGCTCGTGTTCAGCTGTACTCACGCTGATGCCATAACAGAGCTGGTAGAAGCTTGGAAAATCTCCAGCGTGCTCTGTGGAACTCATAATAAACACCACTTTTCCATTATCTGGAATTATCCATGCCCTACAATGGATAGTTACAGAAAAGTTTAACAAATTGGGTGAAACTCTTTTGACTAATAACGTTCCACCCACTTCTGCGAAATTATATCATGCAACAAAGAAATCTGTTATATGTTGCACAATTATTCTGGCTCCTAATTTCCCTTACTGCTTGAATAATGGCACAAAAGAACATACAAACTAATCAGTCTTTGGGTTTTTTTCACCTGGAAGAGAGATACATATGTGGCTACTTATGTGGATAAGTACTTGAAGCAGCTCTGGTGCAATCTCACCTGCAATATCTTACTTGCTCTATCTCTATGCTGAAGAAACACATTACAGACTAGAAGATCACATTCCCAAGTCAGCTGTTATCCTTTTATCATAAGGAATGATAAAAATCAGCTGATTAATACGACTCCTCCTAAGACCACACTTTCATGAGGAAAAATCAAAAGTGATATGGAAAAATATGGATCTTCAATTCATACTGATATTAAAATATCAATTTTCATTAAAGATTTTACAAGGAAAGCCATAGGGAAAATTATGTCAGCATGCATTTCCTTGAGTGATAAAGAGCAGCAAATGTTCTTCTCTGTCCCAAAAGAAGAGAATGACCTTGAAGAAAAGGAAAATGTTTTGACTTATGGTTACTCTGAATTAAATAGCCCAGTGAAGAACAACATACCTCTTTATCCTGAATATTTGGATCTGCGTTGTTTTCCAGTAACACCATCATGCAGTTAATGTAACCCCCGTAAGCAGCACACTGCAGAGGTGTTCTACCGGCATAATCCTGCACATTAGGGTTGATTTTATTTTCTATCAAGATTTGGCACACGTCAGCATTTCCTCCCAGGGCTGCCCAGTGAAGGGGCGAGTGGCCATCTTGGTCCACCAAATCTACTCTTGCTCCTCCTGCAACAACAAATACATTTTTGAACATAAAAAGAAAATAGTATTGATTTAAAAAAAAAAAAAAAGAAGCCCCCTTATGCTCAACTTGAACTTATTTGGTAAACTGACAATTCAAATAAATATTTCTGAAAGTAACTTCAGGTTTGTAGCTCAAATTCTAAAGCTTAAATCAAAATGAATCAGGAACTAGATGGTTTCGGTGAGGGTCTGGCATCTAACTCTCTTACAAGCTTCTGAGTATTCTCTCAGATGCTTTAGAAACTCCAGATTTCTCAAATGCTCTTGAAAAACCAAGCCTTTATTTGTTTCAAGCCTATTAATTTTCAGTGAAACTTTCATTTCTTAACAACAAAATCGCTTCTGAAAATTAGACTTCAGATGAACTATCTTTTTAAACCTCTAAAGCAGACAAGATAGAATATTCACAGTGTAAAAATTTTGAAAAAAAAAATTGATTTGGTTTTAGTTCAAGCATGCTAAGACTCATTTATGCAGATAATTAAATTTTCTATGTGTTCTTGTATGATGCAAAAACTCAGTACAAAAATAAAGTTCCACAAATATAAAAACTTGAACCTACCAGGAACAATGACTGTTTGTATCATATTTCCTTAGACATAACTCAGATTCAGAAAACCAAGTTTCTTGCATCTAAAAACGCGCAGAGAGTTGGAGGAAGAGCTTAACGGGAGGTTAAAGCATGGCCAGCAGATCACAGAGGGAAGCACATTTCCGGGTAAGAAAGGTTGGTTGACAGAAAACGTGCAACCTGTAAGAAACGTGTAACCTGGATACTGCAACAGTCTGTAAATGAGAGAATATTTCAAGTAGCAGGGAGACTGCTTCTAGCTACTTAGAACTCTTCTGTGAAGCCAAAATGAATTTTGCATCCAAGATACCACTGTTCTTTTACCGTATTTCTTCCACCTCAGCAGGGTTTTTACAGTTATCTAAAACTGTGTACGTTGTTAAATCTTATTTTTGTCTACAAGTAAAATACTGCTTATAAAAAACAACCAGAGGAAAATATTAATGATTGAGGATTCCTGATTGCTACATACATTAAAAAAATTAAGATTAATTTAAATAGTCAAAAAGTCTTCAAAGAAGCCTAAAATGCCTTCTAACAGAAGAGAAAAAAGGTTAATTTGGTCTTATTTACCAGAGGGGGAGGTGGGGGGGTGAAAACCAATTACTTGCAGGGGGAAGAGGCAGTTTGAAGGACTAGATCATACTTGGAAAGGCTTGAGCAGAAAGGAGCTGTGAAAAGAACTATCCCAGTTCTGAATATTTAACTCTTCTAGACGTTCTGCACAACATTCTGATCACCTTTTACATTTACTAGTGCTGTTCCACAAAGGGTACTTACAGACAAAACCTGCTTTAGAAAAGTAATTTTCTACCCCAGCCCCTGTTCAGCCATGCTGTTTCTTTCCCAGTCCCGCAGAAAGCAGCACAGGAACTCTGAACAGGTTTGTAAATTCATAACAGCTGACCTTTAATGAGTGTTTGTATCACTTCTTTGTGTCCCATCTCACAGGCTCGGAAAAGCGGGGTGTGTTTCATCACATCCAAAGCATCTACCTGTGCGTTATGTTCCAACAGCAATTTCACTGTGCTGACATGGCCAGAAAGGGCAGCAGCGTGTAGTGCTAAAAGAATAAAGTAGTAGGAGAAAGAAATCACAGCGTCATGAGCTTTGGAGGTTTACAATTAGAACAGTCAAAATTATTGTCAGACGTTTGAAACTGGGGGGGAGAAGTGCTTTTCAATCATAAGAAACAGAAGAATTGTGACAAGCGATCACTAACCGCATTTCCTTGCCATACAAGCAAAAAGCAATAAGTAGAAAAAGTGTTGGCCCTGAAACATGGGTTTGACTTGGAAAAACAAGAATTTTAACCTTAACACCACCAAGACTGGCTTATTATGTAGAGGGTTAGCAGCTTCTGATTAAAAGAACCTAACATGATCTACTTCTGCCTCTGTTTTGTGGCATTTCTTATATCACCCCAAGGGAGATCAAAGCACCCATTACCAGTGAAAGAGCTTTTATTATTCCTTAAATGTTTTTCCTTGCTACCTTTTTTTTTTCCTTTCAAATCAGCAAAGTTGTCTCAATTCAAATTAACTCCAGACAACCACTCAGCTGGGTTTTTTTCAGAATTAGTTGGAAAAAATAATCCAAATAATATCCAAATAATTAAGAATGAAAACACAAACCAGCGCAATTCATAAATGCATGTTTAGTACAGTGAGTTCATATTTCCCTCCCCCCCCCCCCCCCCCCGCAATTTCAAAAACATTCAGCCTTGGTAAGAATTCAATTTGTGGGGCTGTAAACAGTACCTACATGTCTCTAATGTTAAAACAGGCAGGGTCAGGATCCAGCAGAGGCATTATACAGAAAGGCACACCAGGAAGGCCAGCGTCAGAAGGAACTACTTCTTGAGCCATAGCCAGCATATCAAAACAGTCAGCTTTTTGTATTTGCCTGCTACTGCTTAGCACTGGTACCAGCTTCGCACAGCTTACGAAACAGCAACCCAGCACAACCTGTTACCCAGGCACTGCGAAACCGCACAGGTTGTTCCTACCGTCCGTGAATCAAACCCAGCTGAAGTGCGTTGCCCTAAAACGGATTCGCAAAATTAGTGATCGGAACTGGAACTGTGACACAGACAAATGTGGCGCTTCCTATACGAACTGGGGTCACGGCCAGGGACACTATGCGAAGCGCTGCCTTAGTAACTGAAATCATGCATTTCAGATGACACTAATGTTTAACTGTTGCAGCTAAAAAGCAAAGGGGCACTCATCACACTAGTGAAAAATACCCGTAAGCAGCAAGAGCTGCAGTAGCTAGGCGAGCTGGTGGCTATCAGCAGAAATTCAACAAGAACGAGATCCCTGCCGCTTCGTACATTTGGATGGCTCTGGTTTTCAAGGTCTGACCTCACAGTAAACTCTAGGCTCTGCTTTTTGTACTGCATTTCTTACGAAACCAAAGGCAGTAAACCACTCCATCAGATGACACATGGGGTGTGTATAACAATACAATAGAAAAAGAGCTGCTGTGTCAGCTTGGCCTGTTCTTCCCTCCATCACTCATTCTGACGCAGGCATCTTGTGTCGGACTTTGTGCTCAATATTTTCTTGTAAGCCAAATTTTCTGTGATGGAGTCACGGTGACTGAAGAGATTCTTCGGCCAGCTGGTCACAATAGGCCTTTTGTTCAGCCGACAGACGGAGCACTCTCCATTGTACGAAGTGACGGCAGAGCTATAAAGCTGCCCCTGTAATGCTCCTGCAGCGCTGATCTCCGAGAACAGGGAAATTCCTTTCCCTTGGTGTCATTCTCCTACACAATGCGAGAGTCTTGATGTTCTAGCAAAGCTGAATGGAGAGCCTGCTCTTTTTAAGTAGATGTAAAAGCCTGCGTTAACGCAACATTATAACTAAGCTTAACTGATTCAGCACACAAAAGTCAGAAAAACACAACCTTGAACTCTCCGCAGCAACTGTATCCCAGGCACGGAGGCATGTACACTATTTTCTATTACTGTACAGTTTCCCATCAGAACACAACGCTACTTTTCCCTCATCAAAACTTGGGAATGATTAAAAACCTTTGGGAAAAAAAAAAGGGTCTGAAATCAGAGCGTGATTTACTGGCGGGCTCCCTTTCAGGTTTACACCTCTGATAATAAAGCCCTGGCTGCTGCACATGCTTGCACAATGGGCAAACTGGGATTGCTGGGCAGTAAGTGACGAACGAACGGCAGAGTTCCCCACTTTAAGACGATTAGTTTGTTCTACACAATGGCACTTTCAAGTAAATGGAAAATCCATTCATTTCCTTGGATTAAAAGCCCTACAACAACAATCAAGATTAAAAGGTGATTACACATCACTGCTATGAAAGGTTTAAGACTGAAAGATAATAAACCCAACCACCTGAATTATTCAAGCATGAAATCTACACCTGAGTAATTTCAGAAACACAGTATGTGATTACTGTCTGCAAAGAAGAAAACCCTTTGTAAGGAGGTTTGCACAGTGACTACAACATAACTGCACCTTAAGGTCTGCAACATACTGTGAGGTATTTAAAAGAGAACTGTCAGGAAGGAGCAAATATAGGTGAGACTGATAAAAGATGAAACAAGACTAAAATTGTAGAGTATGGAGTTTATGATATCATCAAACACGAAGACTGAGATTTGATTTGTTGCAGATTTCTTAAACTCAAAAATTACAAACTCACATAACTTGGAAAGACTGATTTTTTTGGTCCGTTAATTTGTAAGGAAAGCAAGAATTTAGATATTTAAATAGAATTTTATGGTAAACGTATTTGGCTTTTTGTGTAAAGACCCCACCTCGACGCAGCCAAAGGAAATAAAAATTTTGGTTTTCTTACATGAAAGTAATATTCATACATCCTATTTTTCAAATGCTGCATCCCATAACCCTGATATTGCATTTATTTATCATCTGTAAGCAATCTGAACTGTGATCTGAAAAAAGAAAAGCAGTTAAACTCATACCTTTGTTTCTTAGTTGGGACAGATTCCCTAAATCCTTTAAGCATGTAGCCTAGGTTTGTGTGTGTGTGTGTGTGTGCAGTCGAACAATAATGCTTAAGTATACTTTGAAACAAATATATTAAAATGTATATAAACAAGCACTGCAATACACATTCTCACTTGTTTAAAATAAGTTTCCAGGATAAATGCCCTTTACTGTATTATTCATGGGCATGTGCTCTGACTATCAGCTTGGCTACCATTTCACTACTTACACACAGGCACACATTTTTGCACTTACCTTCTAAGCGTGTGAACGGCAGAAGATAGTTCATGACCTGTTCCCACACAGCTTATCCCTGCAGCCCCCCGCTACCAAACCCCTCCAAATGATACCAAATATATCCACATTCTCCTCTCTTTTTATTCAGATGTCGCCAGCACAGCTCCAGTACTTTTACCTGTATTTCCCACACTGTAGAACACATGTTCCCTTCAACCCCGTCTCTGTCAGAACTGATACTCTGTTTTGCTCAAAGAATTACAGAGGTACAGTATTTCTACCACAAATTCTTATAATTTTTCACTAAAGGAGATAAGTTCATAGTTGTTACAGGTAATTTTGAATTTCATGACTTGCATGCCTAAATTCTGAAACCCTGTGTTGCATATTTATCTTTTGCTTTGGGCAGATAATGGGATGATAGACTTGAGGGATATCAAGTTTAAGCTCTTGTTTGGACCACAGAAATTAAATAGCTCTAATCTTTATTACACTATCTCTACAAAGAACTACAGTACTTATGATTTTCATGATGATAATTTAGCCACTTCACCGGTTAGTCTGCTCAATATTGTTCCAAATTATTCATTTACTGACAAATTTTTTTAACAGGCCTTTTCACGGAGGGCTTTTTATGCAATTATATTTTATTTTATTCTTCAAAACACAGAACAGCTCTTCCTTTCACAGGATTACAGCCCTAACTAAACAGCAGCATAGTAGTACATTTCTTTTTCTTGCTATGCTTCAAATGAACCTGTCCAATCCGCCCAGAAAAGATGTCTTTCTTTCCCACAATAAGGCAAAGAAGTGACTCACACGCATAATAAAACTAATGCAGAAATATTTTCATGATTAAGGTACACATCCAGGAAAAGATTAATATAGCTTCTAACAGTGCTTTTTATTTAGTCAAATCGCACTGACTGGAAGTAACCAGTGGCTCTTTACTGCAAAACATCTTACCTGTGCCAGCGTATTTGTCTGTCATATTGATATCAATATCCAATTTTAAAGTCAGCATAGTTCTAATGACATCGTCACTGCCTTTGCCAGCTGCCCACATGAAGGACGTTCTTCCCTCAAGATCTGAGTCATCTTTTACAGAAGGATGTTTCAAAAAGACTTCAACTGTTTCCTGAAAAGACATATTATTGAAATTAACATTAAAAGGAATCTATAACAACAAGAAACTGTTGTGTCTCATTTAGCTGTTTATGAAGCAAATCAAAGCATCACTTTTCCTTTTTATGTTCCTATGGAGTAATAGCTCAACAGGAGCACTGCATTTTCTCCTATGCCCTTTTCCTCGTCAATGTTCACAGTGCATCCTTAACTATGAATTTAACAGTCATTTATTTCATACTTTTCTCTTTTTAGTGTCAAACATCATGTGTTCATCATAAGGAAGTAAAAGACACTGCTGTCACTGTGAAGAAAGCAATGGGAAAAATATCATCAGCTTATCAAAACATTACTGGAATACTACGATGCTACAATAATGTTCCTTCAAAATATTCTCCTGACATATTCTTTTTCCTCCAATTTTAAGTATGACTGCACATGCAAATATTTTACTTTGCCAAACTCCAGTAATTTGACTACTCAAAAAAAGCCTGGTCTTTTGGGGCAACACAGATATATTTCCTAAATTTAACAGTATCAACAGGTTACTGAAGTTACTGAAATATTATAAATCAAAAAAATTTTAAGAAAATCTTTGCACCTGAGTCCAGGCTTTCCACTGTAACCGTTACACTAAAATCTGTTGAAATCTAAGCAAAAAGAATTATTTCTTCAAATGCTGTGTTTGTGTTAAGCTCTCAGCAAGCTAGTCCGCTTGTTTAATCTGCTGCTAGATTCCTAATTGACACACAGGAAAGGAAGGGAGAAGAAATCACGACTGCTAGAAAAAATATTAGGGGAAGGCTTTCCCTTTTCTACCTAACGCCTTATGAAGGCTGTGTATTTAACAGCTGGTGAACAGTTCGTAAGAGCCACTGATAAGTTAGCCAATAAGAACTGAAGAAAGTGAGTTTCATTATTTTATTTTACTTTTACATTATAGTATTAACACTATTTTATCCTTTCCCCCATGTGACCCCACAATAGCTCTACCACTGCTCCAGGTAGGATAAGAATTGCTTGGCTATATGGAATCATATGCTTATAATCACAAAGGTGTTTAAATGCTTAAATCCTATTGATTAGTTTGGGTTTTTTTTAACTGCTACTTATTATTTCAACCCTCTACAGAAACAGGAACTTTCTCATTTATCTTATGTTCATGTGATCTAAGATCTCAAAACTTCGTGAATTTGGGTCCAAACCTGAACTATCGGTTTAGTGTAAATAGGTCCAGCCAGAAATAACGAGGGATGGAAGCATTAAGCCTTGCACACAAACCAGCATGTGTTTATAGCTTTCTGTACACACACTACCCACCACTACACCTCACACACAAACGGCTACTCATTAGGCCAGCAACTCAGCACCCTACCAGTGCCCTGCACTGCTTGAGATCCTGCAAAGTGAAAAGCAGCGTGAAGGCTGGACCTTTTCAGTACTAAGGCACACAGCCTACAAACATAAATAAGTAATTTTATTTTTCCATTAAGTTTTAGCAAAGCAAGGTTTCTTTCAACTGCTCTTTTTTTTTCTTTAGAGCTTTTAATTGGGAAAAGTGGAAGAAAATCCTATAGTGCTGTAAAAGTTATTTTCCAAAATGAAGTTACCACACCTTGAAAAAAAAATGAAATTAAATTGTAACAGGATGGTTAAGAAAGCAGAAAACAGAAGTCTCAATCGTCTTAATTCTACATGTGTTTTGTCATGAAAAATCACATGTATTTTGCCTCTATTAAAAAAAGGGGGAAAAAATAAAATAAAAACGAGCAAAGCTGAAAAAAAGCAGTTAAAGGAGAGATGTAAACCTGTATAATTTCATCCTGTGCTATCAAGAAACCCTGAAAAATACAAAACATTATCTGTGAATATTCGAAAACAAGACAGGGACATCCACATTTCATTTACTAAACCAATCTATGCAAGTATGTGAAAAGCAAGCAAATAAGCTTGGACATCTCTGGAAAAAATCAGAAAAAAGTAATATATATTTAGTCCTGCATTCTACATACTAAAATCAATACTAATAGAGCATCTGCCTTCACACATGAAGTTCAAAAATTTTGGAAGGATGTTTAGGAACTTAGGAAGGACCCTTATGCAGGATACATAAGCCATTTAAATTTCAGGCAACCTACTTGAGTGGTTATTATTAGGTAACTTGTCTTCTTCTAGAACTCTTTATTTTCTAATAAGTGGAGATAAACTAGTCTTAGAGAACAAATTCTTCATGTAAATTAAGTCTTTTCAGTCTTGAAAAAACAAAAATGTCAGAGTAAGTAACCCATATTAAAACAGAGCAAAGAACAAGATACCGAGTTAAGTAAAACCAAAAGCAATGCAAATATTTTTAGTAAACACAGAATAACAAACTTTCTTCATCTTAGGGACTAAGAAACACTGCATTTCAACTTAGAAACTTACCACACCTATCCAAAATGGGCAGACTGAACAGCATGGCTCTCAAACCACAAATATACGTACATATACGTGCTACTGACAAAACAAACATGGATGCAGCCTTCCAGTACCTGAAGGGGTCTACAAGGAAGCTGGGAGGGGACTCTTTACAAGGGCCTGTAGTGACAGGACAAGGGGTAATGGATTTAAATTGAAAGTGGGGAGGTTTAGATCAGATATCGTGAAGAAATTCTTCCCGGAGAGGGTGGTGAAGCACTGGAACAGGTTGCCCAGAGAAGCTGTGGATGCCCCATCCCTGGAAGGGTTCAAGGCCAGGCTGGATGAGGCTTTGAGCAACCTGATCTAGTGGAAGGTGTCCCTGCCCATGGCAGGGGGGTTGGAACTAGATGGTCTTTAAGGGCCCTTCCAACCCAAACCACTCTGTGATTCTATGATGTGCCTCCTCTCAGTTGTTTCAGTACGTATATGGAATGCAGTGGTTGGAATTACTCAAGGATTTGTATGTAATCAAGAAAAAAGGCAAATGGTATTGCTCAGAACCAACCAGAGTGGTAAAAAAGAGAGAAGGTCCAGACATAATTTAGGCATATATAACAGGGGCTCTTGGACAGATCACCAGCTAGAAGAGGCTTGGAGATCTGAATGAGACTCTCATCTTTGATTCTTCCTGTAAGATGGGAAACAGTACATTCATTGTAAGTACACAAGATTACAAAAGAAAGTCTGATTCCGTCACCTACTCTATTCCCCCATAAAAACCTCAACTATATCATAATTTGGCTGGCTGGTGGGATCAAAAGACAGCAACATAATGAAGATGTTTCATACAACTGAATCGAGCCCAGAGAAAGAAAGCCATTATGAAAAATCATTTTTTAGGTATATATCAATATAGGAAAGAAAAAAAGATAAAAGCATGTCAGATAAACACCAGCTTATAAATTCTATCTTTCCCATGAGCCTGACTCAAACTGCACAGAAAGGATTTTACAACAATTTTAGGCATGTGAGTCACACTCAAATCATACATACCACGTAATGGAAAATAGTCAACATCAAAAAGGTGTAAATTATACACAGAGATATGCTCCAACCAAAGTCTGAATTAAAAAAAAAAACAAACCAAAACCACTGTATGGTCTTACTAAGACTACCTCCAAAAAACACCACCATAACCCACTCTCACAAGGAAACTGGAGGTATTAATACACATTGGTCAGTTCCCCCCTGCAATAGTGTTAATTTGAATGGTCCTCAAGGCCATTAAGGTTTTACTTGTTTTACAAAAATTAATATGTGAGTAGGTAAGAAAGACCCAAATTAGTATCCCTGTTAAGAAAATGCTGCAATATGCGCTACATAACTATATTAATTAGGCACTTATAAGCCTTATAACCCTTTTTGCAAAGGGAGGTTATAAATCATACAACAGAAGAAAACTTGGATGGGAGGTATCAGTTTACTATGCATGGCATAATTCAACTGTGAGAGCCAGAGCAGCATGAAAAAAGACTTCCTAACTTCCAGAGCTTGAGACTTACTTCTATAACAACATCTATGACCAGCAATCATTACTCTGCTAAATTTTACACTTAGCTCTACTGTATCTGATCTTGCTCTGGAAAAATTCTGCCTATTCTACCAAAATATAAGAATTAGGCTGTCTGAGAATCCAATTCTCTTTGTTGTCTGAATTTTAAAAATACTAAAAGCTTTAAAAAACTTCTAAAAATATCATGTTCATGGAGAATTGTGACAAGTACTTGCTCTTTAGCTGTGCTTTATGAGACAATGGCTCATTCACTATAGCAAATATTAAAAGTTAATCACCTTGAAGGCAGAAACTGGTTTGACTGGTACTGAAGCAGCTATGCAAACACTGATACAGGTGATCTTACACTAGATACCTTACAATTGCTTAGATTTCGCTGCAACGAGCCTTAAAAAGTGTAGGCATTGTAAAACATTAAGCATCATTCTGCTTTCAACTGAACTACCTCACTGACTACTGTGTGTTCTGATGCAAACGTAGATCAAAGGGCCTTTCTTGAACAGCAATTTAGGGTTTTTTAGTCTATTTTCAATACTTTGAAATTAACCACATTTAGATCCTACAACACAGAATCATAGAATCATAGA